TGAATTTCCATTATTTATAGTGTTACCATTTGGCTCATCTCTTTTTGATCAGTCATACATAAAAATGGCCACAGCAGGAAATTTCAGGTGCTGCCACCTTCATCACTTTTGCAATACTGCTGTTACACTGATCTAAAATATATCTAATATGTATGAGTGCTGAGCATCTGTGCCAGTGAAATAAAAGGTCTTTCAATGTACTACTTTTTATGCAGGTGATTATTATTTTGACACACACAAAACCACTTTTTGGCTGGGAACTTTATGCTGAGATTTAGCCTGACGATCTTTAGAAGTGAGCTAGAAACTGAGCATTTCCACTACATACAGAAAGGAAAGGATGCAGCAGTTTGAGGGTTACACAGAGGAAAATGCCTTCTCTTCTTCATGAAATCAAAAATTATTTTGCAGTGGTGTCCAGAATTTGCTTCCTATGATGCTTGGTGAATTGAAAACAAAACAGAACAAAGAGAAAGAGTGAGATACAGATGTTATAAAGCTGCCTACAAGCAAAACCTATTTCCTTTCCCCTCCCCCCTAGATAATTGCTCTAATTTTTCCTCAAGCTGAGTTCAGATTATGTTTCTGCCTAACAGATGAGAAGATTCATGACATTGACTGTATAACAGACATTTAATCATATATTTCCTAGAAGAGATGAGAAAAAAATCCAGAAACAAAACTCAAATTGCTTAGAAAAGAAGTAACTGGCATAAGAGACTGATGTTCAAATTTTTTTTTGTGTCAATGAATGCCATGATCTGAAAAACCTCTGCAGGAACCTCACACATTCATAGAATGGAAATTATGACAAAGAAGCAAATTTGCTGTGACATACCACTTTGTCAGCCAGAGAAACCTGTGACACTAAAACCAAGGGGAGAACCTAAGTGTTTGCAGCATTATATCCTTCCCTGATTCAAGTGGCTAAATCTGGAGCTGCATACAGCTGGAAGAGGCACAGGCAATCAGAGCAGGGTGCAGCCCCCCTCTCCTTGAATGTGGCAGGGAGGGTGGCAGTGCTGCGTCACTCACAGGCAGGGGATGTGTGCTAAAGGCCACACTGGGGCCACTTCAGCACACAGCAGGAGGAAGGGAAACCTGGCAGTGGGTTGGTATGACCACAGGGATGTTACCACCCAGGGATTAACCTGTATTGCCATATCCTAAACCCGTCAATCCCAATTTTACAACAGTGTTTTTGGAAGACTAGTCCAAGGCTCCTGCACAAAATTTAAAGATAAAATTATCCAAGACAGTTTTAAATGCTCTTAAAAAAGTTTTCTACAGATACTATGAGATGTGCGAATGCTGCAGACTAGGAATACAAACAAATATATATCTGTGTTGTGGCCATTTCCGTTCAATTTTCTCAGTCTGTGGAGAAAGCTATAATTAATCCCATGAAACAGTTTATCATTTTATGCAGTCAAGCCTGCTGCCCCTGGGGAGGCAGCTACAGCTGCCTTCCCTACAGAGAGCAGGGAGCAGAGCTGCCTCAGCAGGGGCAACCCAGAGAACTGCCCTGAGTGAGGGCGTGCTCTGCAGAAAGCAGCCTGGCCAGAACCAGGAGAGTGTGGACCTGCCATCATCTCCTAGGAAGGAAAACAAAAACTTTCCTGATTAACAGCCTTTGGGGTTTCTGAAAAACCAAGAATTGACAGACAGGATTACAGAGGAAGGGAGAGTGGAAAGACGGAAAAATTAGTGTAAAACAAAAAATATGTTAGGGTTATATCTGAAAGATGAGAAAACCCTGTGTATCAGTGTACACGCAAAGAAACAGAAGGATCTGGGACAGAAAGGACTGTTACAGTCTCTAGCATTCACATTTCAGGGTGTGGTTCCTTTGGAGAAAATGGTATTTTAAAAATTGTTACCATAAACTATTAGCATAGACTATACACCCATGTTAAGCATGAAATCAGATATTCAGGTATTAAAATTGTTATTATTGTTATAAAATGTTTAATATTATCTCTCTGTACATGAAACAGTAAAGAATACAAGTTTGGCTTGATTTATTCACAAAAGTTTTCCTGCTGTTTTGACTAGAACCACTCACAGAATGCAAGAATGGAAGCAGACTTCTTCCGTCACCCAAGATCAGGATAAATCCCATCATAAATTGATAAACTCCATCTAAAAATAGTTAAGATTTAGGCCTCCATTGCTGTGATGAGAGGTCACCCCAGATCCACCCTCCCCAGTGGCTGGAAGGCATTCAGCTTCCATAACCCACATTGCCGATCAGTGCTCTCCTGCTCATGTAAGAATAAAGTGAAAATAACTCTTTCATAAAGGAATAAGCATTAGTTTTAAAACACAGAGTGATTGGGATTTGGCCTTTGCTATAAAAGAACTTACTATTGGGAAGGATGTATGGGGATCACTCATCTGCTGGGAAGCCATTGACAGCTCACATAGTTGATGAGAAACAGTGGCTCTGTGACAACATTTGGTTTGGCTGGCAAGGATTAATTTATTCAAAACACACAGAGTCTGTTTGTTGTTCATTTTCAGAAACATCAGCTTCTGCTCCATATCAAAATCCAAAGACATTCTTTTTTAATTTTTCATGTAATACCGTTTTTTTTGGCTTACGACATGACAAAGGCTTAAAAAAATGTTACTGTTGATAGCTACAAATAAATGTTAGTTAGCATAACTTTTTCAAGTTTATATATACCTTAATAAAAACTTGGTAACTTTAACACAGATATAATAATTTCCTTTCCTTCTTTGTTTTTCAGAGTTCAAACTATATGTGAAACTAAAAGCTTTTATTTTTATTTGAACTGGTTTTAACCCCCCCAAAATCTAAATCAACATTAAAATTTATTCAAATTAGGTAACAAAAATCAAAGTATGTAACAGTAGTTTTTAAACTGTACTGCCTATGTTTTCACGTGTTTACAAATGTTGTAGAATGTATTTTATATCATTATCTGTAATATATTGTATCAAAAAATGAAAAAGAAAACATTAATACAGTCACTTCCTTTCCTAATATTTTGTAATTTTAAATTTGTAACATTAATGTTTCAACCAATATATTGTTTACTTCATTTGGGTTCCTGGTTTGGGATAAACTTTTATCACAAAGAAGCAAAAAGAAAGAGTGTACTGACTTTTTAAAAATCTATCTAAGCCACAGTGTCCCTAATGCTGGAGATATGCTCATCATATCTGAGGTTTTTACAGAGCTCTGAGGAACAGAGATAACTTTAAAGTTTACTCCAACATCCCCACTTGCCAGATTTCCAGCACGGCCGAGGTCCAGGGTTTTGACTGAAGCTCATTTCTTAATATTTAGCTAATTTAAATGCTAATTAGACTAATTTGATGAATAAAACATGGTAGGAATTCATTAGCAACTTTGCTGCTATTGCTTTACGTCTACAGAGAAATTTTCTACAACAGGACTCCAGGGACAGTAGCGCATCTGTTACCAGTTGAACAAGTTGGATTCTTTGTAATACTAAACCTTAGAGTTGGTAATATATTGCAGAACTGCAGAGAAGATGGAGGAGCAATTTTAAATTTTGCAAATCTAGCACATCCTGGACATAGGCCATCACTGAAGAAGAGGCCTTATGCTGTCCTGAGCCCATCTGCTTCGTGGGGTTTGCTCTGAGATTTATACACAGAGGAAGAAAATGTGCCTTATCTCTGTCTCACATTACCTACTACAGTCGTTCCAGTTGTTCTGCCTGGTGTTATTGGTGCCTATACAAAGAAATTAAATCATTCACCTCATGTCTGATACTGTGGATAGACTTTAATGGTTTTATTGAGCTCCAAGAAATTAGTGAGGCTCCACAGCTGTGGAGCAGATATGAAAATTGATAAGACAGTGTCTTTGGAAGAATAGTTGGTTGGTTGGCTTTGTTTGTTTGTCTGGTTTGGTTTGGTGTTTTTTTTGTTGTTGTCTTGGTTTTGTTTGCTTTGCTTTTTTTGGGTGAGCTTTTTTGTCTCTTTTTTTTAATGCAGCATGTGCCATTAGTGGCACTTGGGGATGTGGTTTAGAGGTGAAATGGCAGTGCTGGGTTAACTCAATCTTAAGATGTATTTCCCACCCTTAGGAATTCTAAGATTCTATGATTACCACACTCAACAAGGTACTTAAGCAGAAGCCAAATTTTTAAGATGTGACTTTGAATCTATTTAAAAACAAAAGTTGCTTTTAAGCTTAATTAGATTGCTGAATTTTAGTTTGAAAAAAAAAGAGAGAAAATAAGAAGCCCTATGGAGAACTTCCATGGCAAAAAGTAAAAAGAAAAGTTTTGCTAAACAAGAACCTGTTTTGGACACTCTTCTCTTCCTGTGTCCACTCCCATGGCTGAATTATTATGTCCATAGGGACATCTAGAAAATCCCCCAGATATCTGGGAAATATAGGTTCAGATCTCTGCATACTGAAGATTTCCTGTGATACTCAGAGTGGAATATGTAAGTGAAGGAACTCAAAGGCCTGTAAGCACCTGTCTTCTCTGGAAGATAAATATATTTCATGTATGACTTCTGATGCCATATATGTATTTAGATAGTTAATTCTGATTTAAAAAAAACAACAAAACAACAAAACAGTGGCTAATAGAAATCTAAATGTAGATTGTGGATCTGCGTGTTCCTATTTCTTTGCCTTAATTTTCTTCCTGTAAATATTACTATTAATCACAAAGGACCCAAAAAAATTAACATGTTACAGATAATAGGTGATGTGCTCAAGTGTAGTAGTGGTGGAGGCTATATTAACATACCATAATAAAAACAGAACAGGAAGGAATGTAAAGGAGGTCATCTGTATTGATAATACCATTTATCAGTGAAAAAGTTTCAAGTCAATTTGCCACTATTTTAATTCAGTTCTGCACTTGTTTGTTTTAGTTTTTTTGTGGTTTGTTTGTTTGTTTGCTTTTGTTTAAACTTTTGCTCCTGAATACTAGGAGTGAATGTAATTAGGTTTATAACTATTTCAAACAGAGTTCAGTACTTACTTCTACATGCTGACAGGTCTGAATGAGTTTCGCCAGAAGAGTTTCCAGCTCAGTATTCCTCTTAATAAGGTTGGTGAGGTTACTCTCCAAATTTTGCTGTTAAAAAGAAAGGAACACATTAGCATTTCAAAGAATTTAATGTTTAGGTAAATATTTGAAAAATCTAATTATACAGGTATGAACATGAGACACTCATTTTGGTATATTCCATTATATGTGTGATTAGATTAAATGTTTTGTCTATGCGAGACAAGAGAGAAGAAAAGTTCAAGATAAGAATGAGTGCTAGAAAACAGACTTTCCAAGGATCCACTAAAAACTAGATTAAGCAATTAGTTTTAGTCAGGAGGAAAAAAAAGACAAGTAAGGAAAAGACCAGGAAAAGTTAAACATTTCCCCAAAAGAAGTGGCTTATTTTGACTGAGAACATTTTTGACTCCTTATTTCCTGCTCTCAGTCTAACATATGAATTTAAAAGCCAGCAGCTAACTGAGGTCTCTGAGCACATGCCCCTTTGGAACTGTACTTATAAGGACCAGTAGACAGGTCAGCACTTTTTTCTTGGGATTTGCAGTACTGTAGGGGGTCGATATAATTGATTTAATCCCCTAGTTCAGCAGTTATGTTTTTTAATCAATAATTCTAAAGAAAAGCTTCCTTTCTACACAGAAGAATGAAGTATCTGCTCACAGATTGTGCCTTCACTAACTGTTCTTTAGAGAGAACTTGTGGCTTGTGTCTGGTTTTATCAACTGATTATGGCTGCCATAAATATCTTCAGCCATGGAAGAAAGAGAACTTTCCAGCTAACGGATCTGAACCTGCATCCTGGCTCTCTGCAGTTGCACATGAGATTGAGATCTAGCGACTAATGTTTCAGCCTCCTACAGAAAGGAAACCCAGGCATGTGAGGAGCAGGTCTGTGATGCCTGTGACCCACGCCCTGGTCTGGCTGCCTTGGGACCAGGACTTTACTGTGCATCCTGGAACTTGCAGCTACTAACTATTCACTTTTTACTACACATCTGAGATAGCTGCTGTTTTACATGAAATTTCAGCTTCTGGAAGCACATGGGCATGGAAAGGTCTGTGTTTTTGCAAAAACTGCAAAGTTTCCACAGAGATGAAAAGGGATCTGGTAAATATAATTTAAGTATATTAAAAAAAGCAAGCCATTAAAAAGAGTTCTGACTCTAAACATTCATTTATGTCAGTAACTTCAGGGCCGTATGTAATTTTGACATAACTGGAGACTTCTAGCATGACAAGCTATTTCTTATTCACCTATATAAGTGTGTGAGACTAGTCACTTGCTTAGTATTCCTGACAAGCTGACAGTCTCTGACTTTTAAGTGTGTTTTGTCCTCCAAGCAGTCCCTGGCATCTAGGAAGTATTGAACAAGAATACCAGAAGTGGGGCGGTGTTTTCCTCCCAAGAAGGGCTGTAGTGTCTCTGCAGAGCCTTCATTCATTTCAACCCTCCTCATCTTTTATTAATGGGTTTCTTTTCTTCATACTACTACTTTCCCTCCTATGTATCTATTCTATCATTTCAGTGCCTGCAGCTACCAGTAACTCATCTGACTTCTATCATCCTCCCCACAACGACCACCTCCATACATGCATTTAGTGCATTTAGTGTGTGTGTGTTTTTTCTTGTGCTGTTACTCCCTGCCAATTTCATGATCTTTTAAAACACTTTGTTCCTTGCCCTCCCTTTCTGCAGCTGTGCAGTTTCCTTACTCCTTCTTGCATATGGCTACAAACAAATGAAGATGGCAATATTTCATTGCTGAATCATATGTATTTTGGCATTTACCAGGGCTGATGCCGTAAGCGCTAGAGAAGCAGTCAGTTCTGTTCCATTAAGGAAAGAACAAGACTTTGATGGCTTTACATATATGACCCTTCCGAGAAGGGTGGTAGCTGTTTGAAACACATAATTTTGGCATTTTCTTCCCAGCACAGTTATGCATATTGTGTATCACTGGCTGTAAAAATACCTTTTACACTACATTTATTTTATAGCCCATTAAAACAAAGAGTAACAAGAATAGGCATCCTTGCTGAACTGTTTGAGCTGTATCTTAGATTTCCATAAGCTGTACTGTGAACAATCTTAATTGCAAAGGCATGTTTGCTGTGCTGTCAGATGTCCCTTTGTAGGGCTGAGACTCATGCAAAGTCAAAATACCATATATTGTTACAGTATCAGATAACTTTTGTGTTTAAAAAACAGTTCCTTAAGACGATCCAAATGTGCAAATAGTCTTGAAATTTTATTTATATAACTTCTTAATATTATATATTAATTTTGTACAGTTATGGAACATTGCAGTGATTTTAGATAACTGAAAGTTCGTGATCTTCAACTAAGGCCATTAATACCTGAAAATTCAGTATTTTGCTTTGAAACAGAAATGTATTGACCCATAGATTATATACAGATTATTATATTCATGATATTTTCAGATCCTGGATATAATAATCTATATTCCTGAACACATATCCTGGATAAAGAACAAAATCTTAGAATAAATTTCCTATCCACTGAATATAAACATAAACCCATATATATTATTATGGCTTCACACAGTCTCTTGATATCCTCTGCATCTTCTGACTATGAAAATGGTAGATAACTATAATAAGTGAATAGCCTTAGAAAGTCTGGAGTTCCCATGCTCTAGCTCCTTGAACTTTGTAATTTTTCATCTGGAACAAATGGAATTTTGTTTCCATACAAGGGATTGGTTTTTTTTAAGTCAAGAATGATCAGAATTTTGTTAAACTTCTGTTAAGAACAGTTTATATTAATGCTTTACAAGATAACAAGAACCTGGTGTTGCTTACTGAAATTAATTAATCTTTCCAGTTTCACTAGGCCAGTACTGAATGGCAGCTCTTAAAAGTGGCCTGACTTGAAAGTCTTTAGGTCATTAAACATGATCAATTCTTGCAGTATGTTTATGCAGATTTTCTCTTGCCAGTATCTTCCTCCAGCACTTTCCCCTATTTTATTCCTATACAGACCATGGTACCGCTTTGGCTACCACATGACAGTAGGTACTAGAAGCAGAATTTGAGCTCTGCCCTCTGTCTTTACATAGGGGAACCCAGAAAAAGCCTGAACATTTTAAATTTCAGAAGCAGAAGTTTGCTCACAGACTTTCTAAAATGCTGCAACCTCATTTCACATCTGCACCTGGAACTTCCTTGGTTGTGCAAAACCACAATGCTAGATTTGGAGCTCTGGTCATCTTAGAAAATTGATCCAGTTGATGTAGACCAGAATTCCTGAGAGAGTGAATTGTAACCAGGTTTTAAGTCTGAAGAAAGTGTGCTCTCACATTATGATGAGTACATGTGAAAATACATGTGAATAATCTTATTCAAAATATCTTCCTTCTTCCCACCTAACCTTCTACTGCTGTTCTGTTAGGTGAAGTGAACCAAATTACAATTGTATTTCTGGAAATGTTCCAGGTAAATTGTAATTTCTTAAACATTTGCACCTGCCTCTCCTTATCTATTTTTTTTTGTCAGTTGCTAATTTTCATTGTTATATGTCTATTAAAAACTGATCTAGAAACACTGGGGTTGTTTTTATTTAAAGAAGCACCATAGTTGCTGTGCATTTGCTCTGTGGACAGGCTTCACACATGTTAACTCAGTAGAGGTAAACTGCTCTCAAAAAGCAAAAGCAAGGCTGAATGCTTCCTGACTTACCAATGCAGAACTAGCCCAGGATCTTGACAATCCATGCGTGCTTTGAAACTGTTTTTACAACATCCAGTGTAAAGTGAAAAGAATGCTTACTGTCCGTTTAGTATGGTCTGACAACTATACAGTATAAATATTCCTATAATCTTGGGAAAAATCTGAGTAGATGAAATCACAGACGTAATTGAAAAAGACAGTTAAGGATAGTGTTTCATTTTGACTCTGCATGCCTATAAAATGATATGATCCAGGGACTAGAGTTTAAGTTGGAAAAATTAATGCCAAAAATTAGAGGAAGGCAACTCAGGACTGATCACATTTTTAAGCGGTTGTCTAGCTCACACTCAAATAATGATCATGTTGCAGTAATGATTGCGTGAGGCTTGTGCCCTGATTGAAGTGGGAGGTCAGACTAGATGATCATAGTGGTCTCTTCTGGCCTTTAAATCTATCAGTCTATGAAAACCAAATGTGAACCCATGCCCTTTGCCAAATTAACAGTCTCACGCAAAGCATCGCTTGTCTAAAATTGGAAGGTAGCACAGATAGTCCTCAGCTACTATATGGATTGGAAATACTGTCAAAATAAATTAATGTAAGATTCTAAAGAAGAAAAATGCTGAGTTGTGTGCTCCTGCCTTACATCACAGCAGATAAAACAATAACAGTCCCGAGATCATCTTCTCAGAAGCATTTTTCTGCTCCATAAAACTCTCTATTCAAAAGGCCACAAAATAAAACATAGCTATCAGCTACACTGAGATTTTAAATTCCATTTGAAATAAAGCAACTGTATTTTTCTAATTAAAATATTATTGTTCCTGCCATTGGTAAATATAAGTATTCATTTGATTTTTTGGCTCACTGCTTACTGGAAAGATGTGAGAACTGGTCTACTGAAACTGCAGCATATGCTAAGACTCACACACTGTAGGATAGTATATGTAACAACAGCCTTGATCACCACTTACATTGAATCCATCATGATCAAAGCCTTTCAGCAGCAAACACTGACTGCAGTTTGCGTTTCCTTGATCCTGGTGTAAAACTGACCGGAGTAAGGCATATTTTGTGACTACCTCCTGGTTTAAAGAAGAAAACAACTTTGCACACTGGAAATTAAATTTAGTAATAATATAGGTTTCTTGAGAACCACAGCCACCCTTCCATCACCTCTTTACAAATGGTCAAATTTAAACAGAGCTTATGTATTTTCCAATCGAGTTGGTTAAAGTTTATAAACAAAAGCCACACAGTTACACTGCAGTAAAACAGATGAGAAATAAAACACTGTAAAGCAGAAATGTGATTACATCCTAACTTACTCAAGCTAGCAAGGTAACCAGAGTGGTGTTGACATAGCAGATCAGTCT